CTGAAAAGCACTGTTTATTTTATTTGTATCTTTGCTCTATTGCATTTATTTGTGCTGTTGCTTGTACTTAGATTATTTGTTCTTATTTTCTTTATTTTTATTTGACAATATAGTTTTTCCCCTAAACATAGCACATACCGAACCGTACCGAAACCGTGACTCTAAAACCGCAAGACAAACCGAACCGTGAGTAAGTTGAACCTTTGCACCCCTAAAGATAGATAAATAGATAGTAGGGGTGCAACGGTTCAACTTACTCATGGTCCGGTTTTAGAGTCATGGTTTCGGTACGGTTGGGTATGTGCTATGTTTAGGGAAAAAACTATATTGTCAAATGAGAAAGAAAGAGACAGACAGACAGAGAAAGAAAGAGACAGACAGACAGAGAAAGAAAGAGACAGACAGACACAGAAAGAAAGAGACAGACAGACAGAGAAAGAAAGAAAGAAAGAGACAGACAGACAGACAGATAGATTGAAGGGCTTCGCCAGTTCAACGGTCAAATGTTTAAATAAATGCAAGTATTATAAGCAAATAAACTAAACAATTTACAAAACGGGAGACTATTCATGAAACCTCTGAGTTTAAATATTTGTTTGAAATCAAAGGGAAGTGTTGATGTGTAGATATAGATTGTAGTGAAAGGAGTTCAGGTGATCAGAAACAGGAAGATGAGCTGAGTGTGTAACGGGAACCCCTCGGGTGTGTCGTTGTGAATGTGTTTGAGCAGTCAGAGATCAGACCCAACACAAGACGCTGGAATGTCTGCCATGAGGACAGAAGATGCTGCTGACGGGAAGAGCACAGCTAACGGAGGAGGAGTCGTGTGTGAGGAGAGAGGCGTCACCGTCCTCAGGTACAGAGATTCTGATGAGCATCTCCTGTAAGAACATGCTTGAGGTGTGCTCAGTGCAGTGCTGTTATTCTTATTAACTGAAGCTAATAAAAATCATTTGCCTTAATTTACGTAAAACTGAAATGAATCAAAATAGAAATATTAGATGAATAACTTATTTATGTTAATTATGCAAAAATAAAAGCTTATTCAAAATACTATAATAGCATATAAATAATACTAAAACAACTGTTTCAGTGCATGACTGTTGAATGTCCTCTCATCCCTACAGGCCTACAGATCTCTCCGAGATGTTGGCGGCAGGAACCAAAGAAGTTCACGAGAAGGCCGAAAACACCGAGTTTGTCAAAGACTTCCTGAGGGGACGCATCCGCAAAGAGCTCTTTAAGGTAAATGGATCAGTCAGTCATGACAGATTTAAAGACATCATTCACAACACATGTAACTTTCATAATATGTCATATTTCTGATTGAAACAGGACATTTAGTGGCAAATAATGTACTGGGATTTATATATAATTTTATCATATTAAACTTTAAGCATGATTTTTGTCTGGCAGACGATAAAACGAGTAAAATCCCTAATAATGCAACCACATAGCCAGGGTTATTATTTTTAAGTACAACTAAAATGAAAAATAAAACCATGAAATAAAACATTTTCATTGAACACCAACTGAAATAAAACATTTAAAAAATGTATTTTAAAACTGATTTTATTTCAACTAGTTGCCCAGATGTAATTTCTCATTTTCTTCTAGTTTAATTGAAGGTACTAAAATCATTAAAATTAAAACAAAAGTAATAATAATAATACATTTATTTTATATAGCGCCTTTAAAAGTTGCTTTCTCAAGGCGCTTAAGAATGGCACTACTAAAATTTTAACTGAAATTACAATGAAAACAGGAAATATAAAAATAAAATTTATTCAAAAATATAATAGACATTAAGGAAAATTCTAATAATATTATATTAATAACATTAATAAAAATAATAATATATCAGTGATACTAACATAACTCTTCACATATTTTACTATTATTTATATACTATTGTAGTATTTATAATTTTTTTTAATTAGCTTCTATTTTTTATATTTTTAAGTTTTCATTTTAAATTTAATTTAGGCTTAAGTAACTTTATGTGGTTTTGTCATGTTGTTATTATTATTATTATTTTAAATATTTCTATTTAGCTTTAAATTGATTTCATTTTTAGTAATTTTAGCACTTTACCTAACTTATTTAGGTTATTTGCCTGGGCAACATTTTTGTCTAACTTTAAGTTTTTCATCAAATATTTCTATTTTTCTATTTACTTTATTTCAACTAAACTAAAACAAAGCCGTTTAGTTTGACTTGATTGTGATATGGTGATTTGTGTTTGTGTCATCAGCTCGGTCACGTGGCTTTATTCTTCACGTATTCGGCGATGGAAGAGCAGATCGAGAGAAATAAAGAGCATCCTCACTTGGCGGCGCTCTACTTCCCTCATGAGCTGCACCGGCGGGACGCTCTGGCTCGGGATCTGCAGTACTTCTACAGCGAGGGCTGGCAGAACCAGATCAGTGTCTCTCCCGCCACCCAGCGCTACGTGGAGCGCATCCAGCAGATCGGCCAGGACGAGCCCGCGCTTCTCGTGGCTCACGCTTACACCCGCTACATGGGTGACCTCTCGGGCGGGCAGGTGCTGAGGAAGGTGGCCCAGCGCGCCATGAAGCTGCCGCCCACAGGAGAAGGGCTGAACTTCTACCAGTTCGACGGCATCCACAGCGCCAAGGCCTTCAAACAGCTGTACCGCAGCCGGATGAACGAGCTGGAGCTGGACACACACACCAAGCAGAAGATCGTGGAGGAAGCCATCCTGGCCTTTCAGTTCAATGTGGAGGTGAGCAGCGCTGTAGAACAAAGCTGGTGTTTCAGTTGTGATTTAAAAAGGGTCGTATAGTCTTTTTATCATTTCATTTTTTTCCTGTGGTCTTCTTTTAATGCTTGGCGAGATTTTTTTTTGCACCAAAAATATAATTTAGTAGTTGATTTTTATGTTTATTTTCCTAGGAGAGCTACCTAAAAATGTCAGTGATAAAAAAAGGAATCAGTGATTTAGTTTATTAATTCAAATTTGAAATTAAATAGACATATAATTATATATACAGTGGGTACGGAAAGTATTCAGACCCCCTTCA